ATGATGTTCAAGTTGAAAGGTTTTTTTTTTTTTTTTGCCTATGAATGTCCAATTGCTCTAGCACTAATTGTTGAAAATGCTATCCTTCCTCCATTTAATTGCTTTTGCAATTTTGTCAAAAATCAGTTGAGCATATTTGTGCATCAGTTTCTGGGTTCTTTATTCTGCTCCATTGATCTACGTGTCTATCCTGTTACCAATACCATACTGTCTTGATTACTGCATTAGTTTGCTAGGACTGCCTAATAAAGTATCACAGACCCAGTGGCTTAAAACAGAAGTTTATTTTCTCACAGTTCTGGAGGCTAGAAGTCCAAGATCAGGGTGTTGGCAGGGTCAGTTTCTTCTGAGGGCCCCTCTCCTTGGCTTGTAGATGGCCATCTGCTCCCTAAATCTTCACATGGTCTTCCCTCTGCGCCTAAGAATCCTAATCTCTTCTTATAAGGATATCAGACATATCGGATTATGGATCACCCATATGACCTCATTTTACCTTAATTTTAGGAATACTGTACCAGTGGCAAGATTACTATTTTACCAGATTGCTTATGAATGTTAGTTGCTATTATTTCTACTGCAAACTTTAAAAATAAACACAAAACATCTTAAGTGATTAGAAAAATTTTATTCATCATCCCAAACTGGATTATATATTACAAATTCTGATCACAATAATAATATTAAAGGTATTTTCAGTAGTACCACAAATTATCTGTACCTGACGATAAAACCAAATAGTAAACTGGTAAGCATACACTGAAATTTACTCATGTTTAAAATATCACTTTGTTTAGAAAATTTACATACATGTTTTTCTGTTTATGAAGTGGAAGGGACCACAAACAGCACATATGATTTTCAGTGAACAAACACATGAACAATTCCCCATGCACTGAATGAGTCATCAGAAGGCTATAAAATCTTGTAATTTTTTTTAATGGTGCATGAGAAAGTTTATTGTTTTATAGAACAAAATACAGTACTTCTGATCCTCCTCATACTCCCTTTCAGCCCCACTGTGAGAGCTGCTCATAAGTATATACAGCTTGGCTGCCTAACAGGTTCCTACATAATCTCTGTGTTGGGTTGGGTTGGGGGATGGTAAGGGGGGCATTCTAAGCTAGAAGTTCTGAGAGTATAGATGCAGAGGTTTCTCATTAGAAAAATTTATACGTGCCTACTTTAGCACTGGTCCTGTATAAAAACTATCACTATTTAATTGGTCTGTTTGACTTATAAACTAATAATTAGGATTTCAGTCTGATGTGGAGCAGCTTAAAATAGCATCATATACCCTGTTGATTCTTGCCTAGTTGAGACAGAAACACAAATCTGGGGGAAGAAGGTGCAAAGGAGTATTGTCAATTCTCCTTTATTAATACTGATATAGGCATTCATCAGCATAGATAATTAAATGAAACCAAGTATTCCAAATTCTTTCCCTCTCCAAATCATGACTTACATCTGATTTTGGCTGGGCAGAGATTTAGTAGCAAGGAGGTGAGAGTTTACTTCCAGGAAAAGCTAGAATATTGAAAAAGAAGTCCGGGGCAGAGCAGGCACCAAATCAAGGGAGGTACAGAGAATGAACTGCTTGGGACTAACGAACTGGGTAGTATATGGGATAGTATAAGGAGACCATAGAAGACAACGGCTTGACCAAGAAAATGAAAATACAAGCTCTGTTTAGAGAAGGAGGCAGCTTGGTAATATCTCTGAATTCATATACCACACAATTGTCCTTTAACGCCTTGATACAATGAAACAATTTTTTTCCTAAACAAATTTAGTCATGCAGCTTTCTGAGTAAGGATTGTGTCCTGAACCAGGTCCTTCAATCCCATTTGAAGAATAATTAGAAAAGAGAGTTGGAAGTAGGAAAGGGAACATTTCTCGAGTACTTACTTAATCCTAGGCCTGATACTAAGCACTTTATATTTCATTTAAATCCCAACTAAAACTCCTTAGAAGTACGCATCATTTCCCCACTTCACTCGTGTGGAAACTGAAGCTAAGAGGGCCCCCCACCTTAAATCCCACATGATGAAGCTGGGATTCAAACCCAGGCCTAATTCAAAAGTTTCTGGTCTTTTATGCCAACATGTGGCCTTCCCTAAGGGAGAAGTCATGGCACTCTTGAGTTTGGCCTCAGCTGTTTCTTGCTCAAATCACTCCTTTCTGGGATTATTTATTTAGCCATAAAATAAGAGGCTTAGAACGAATGTTGCAGTGAGGCCCTGAACTCAAGAGGGCCTTCAAGAGCAAGATGATTTTCACTTGAGTCTTAACTTGTTTTGGGGAAATGGTGGCAGACGTTCTGTCATCTAGTGGTCATATTTCAGAGTTTGTAGCTACAGAATCAAGGATACCTGCTAACCCACTGCCCAGTTTCTCAGGGATGCTCAATTTGGGGAACTGCCGTTTTATTCCAGGGGCCAGATGTGAGTGGCTGCAGCAGAGAGAAGGACGAGCGCTCCCTGCTTAGAGAAGGACTGAGCGGCTCCCTGGCTGTGAAGTGAGAGGCTGTCAATCTTGCCTCTCAGGATCTCTCTGGGGACATCCCTGGGTGCTTAACTTCTAAGAGGTTTTCTCCTGGTAAGCCAGGAAAACTGGACCTGATAGTGCTTAGATTAGGAGAATTATTGTTGGGATACTCAGGTGAGGAAAGAAAAGTGATCTTTTGAGGTGTTGATGGTGGATCCACCTGACTCAAGGTCTCTGGACACTCAGCAGAGTGCAACTGTTAAGAAGCACAGGATGAAGTATGGCTCGATCTGTATCAGGGGCAAGCCTGGCCTTCAGAGTTTGGGGACAGGCTTTCATTCCCTCAAATTAGGGTAGGACCCAAGACCTGAAGCCTGCGAAACCAGAAGGCAATCAAAAAAAGTATTTCAGCAGCCGGTGGTCTATGGAGGGAAGGATATGCAACTTCTGCCAATGGGGCCAAGATATCTTGGATTTTGGACACTTCAAGACCTTGGACTCCAGGGTCAGATAAAAAAGAAATCATCTAAATAGGGGTAGGTAAGACCCCCTGGCTAACAGTGGGAACCTCAATTTGAAATGGGCAGAAATGTGGAGTGTACGCACTTCTAGATGCTGAGCACAACCAAATGGTCCTCAATAAACAGGCTGGATTTTTCCCAGGAACACTATTATTATCTGTTATATTTTTTTCAACCATGAAAAATGAAATTAGGTTCAGCTACTTAGAATTTGGATATGATTTCTATGGACTGGCTTTCTAAGCAAAGAGAAAGCTGATTACAATGGCCCATCATTTTGGGATAAGTTTGCTGATAATTTTTGAAGGTCCCTGAAAACCTGATTATGTTATTTATGAAAAGACCCAATGATTATGCATGGAGAACTCACCATAAGAGAGGAAGGCCACCGGTTATCATTTATCAAAAAAAATTTTCATTGTGTTTAAAATCTGGAGTGCAGTGGTTGTTGGTTACTTTCCCAAAATTTTGTTTTAGGAAAACTCTGTTAGCGCACTCCCTTAGACTTTCTGGTTGCCATTTCTGACACTCCTATTATTCTCTTGTTTTAGAGGAAAATCTGCCAGTCTGGTCCAGGAAGTAGTCCTAAGCAGCCTAGATAAAACGTAAGACTTAGGTTCCTTTCCCAGACAAAGAAAAAGAGAGTAGTGCTCATTGTGCCTCCATATCCCATCTTACTTCGAATATATAATTAAAGTGACTCTTGAAAAGATGAAAGAGACAGAGCCAGCCCAGCCCACTCAGGGATGTATCTTGAGGGGAAAAAGGAAACTGGAGGGTTTCAGAGGGTGGTACTTGATAACGTGGGGAAGTTTGAGTTCTTGCCCTGTCAATATTCAACAGAAAGAACAACTAGGAATGGACACAGACTTTACAAACACTATGATCTGGGGTGGGAACAGTTGCCAGGTTTGCCATTTATCTTCATTTTGGAGACCTGATGTAGTACTGAAAGAGGAGAAGGGACAGGGAGGTTTACATGCCATTTAAATTGGTTTATAGGCCATAAATGAACGATATAGAGCTGTAATTGACGAATGAATACACTGAAGAGTACATTTAGAAAAATTAGAGGTATTTCTATTAATATTTTAGAGTTAACATTAAAATTGGGAGTATAAGGATTATAAATTCAGAAAATATAAAATGTCCATGAATAGCTCATATTTTTACATAATGGACGGTTGAGAATGTCATGAAAAGCAAGTTTGTGAAATCACAACCCTTTCAAAATCACATCTAATAGCATGGTCTCACTTGAATGATTTGTCAACAAGTGTTATCAGAGGTCAGCGGAAATATTCTCACAATGGCTGGAAATCTAAGCATCACACAAGCACAAGCTCTCTTCTCACTTCAAATATGAAAATAATAAGTGTATGAAAATTTACTTCTCTTTGACAAGGCTAGAAATACACTCTCATTCTTTTATAGAATGATGTCCTATGCTCTAAATCAAGTCCACATCAGGTGGCTTGTAAAATGATTCTGCTAGCATCTTTTCTTGATGCCACCTCAAGTCTGATCACTTGAATATGAACTCAGACTCCACAATATTAAGAGCAGCACTAACACACCAGCTTAAATGCTGAGGACAACTCTTTTTAACTAGTATATCCTTCCTTAGCTTTGCCTGGTGAGCTCATCTTCCACTCCAAACATTATCTTACGTTTTTAAAGCATTTACAGAACATATCACATTCTATATGAGCTCTTCAGAGGGTGGGAGTGTTTCCCTCGAAGGAAAATTGGGGTGCTTACCAAAGGGAGGGTAGGAGAGGCAGGCTCTGTCTCACCCATCTCTGCTTTTCCACTGTAACCTAGCACTGTACCTGGCACATGGAGACTCTTTAATAAATGTAAAATGAGAGAATTAAACCAGATGGCTCAGGAGTTAGGAGTCCTTCTGTATCTTCAAACATGTCGTTTTTCTTTGGCTCCTACTTACATTTGACAAATAGACACGTACCTTTTTAAATAGTTATCTACCTTTGTCACGAGGGGAATTCTACCATTTCAACCTCCTGTCTCAGTACAACTGGATAACCTCATCCCACTCAGAAATAGGCCAGAGGCCGTTGGGCTGCACGTTGGGGGGAGAGCGCTTCCAGTCCCATGTCTTCACAGGAATCTTCCAGGTCTTACCATAGTTGGCTTCAAGGTATTCGATGGTTTCACAGGGCACATGAACCTTCATGTCTACAAACTCAGTCCAGCACAGTGTAAACTTGGGGAACAGGTATCTGTGGCAAAACAGAAGCAATGGGGAGAGGGGTTAGGCTTCACCAGTGGGAGTTTCAGCAAAGGAACCCAGCTGCTAGTGCACTCTTGGCTGAAGGACAGTCCTCTCCCACTAAATAGCTTTCGGGAGAGATCCAATGGCCATTTTGTTGTTTGTGATTGCCCAGCACCCCTTTCCTCTTCTAATGTTAACAGTACCCCAATTTCCCTCCCCTATTCCCAGTCCATATGGTTCAGGAGGGGCTGACCCCACCCCTAAGCTCCAAAGATGGGTAAAGAAGACCCAGGCCTAACCAGTGAATTATAGTGACTGGGTCAGGAATTGAAATACACACAAATTACACAAATGAAAGTCAGCCTTGGGATTTCTGTTGGAACTATGGGGAGAAGAGGTGTTCTTTTTGCTGAGGTTTCTGAGCTGGTAGGACGGAAGCTGAGCGCTGTGGTGGCCAACTTTTTCTATTAGCAGGGAGAGCTGTCTGAGACTGAGGTCAAAGCAAAAAGCTGCCAAAAGATGAAGGAAAATGACAGAGTTCAGAAAACCCTGGGCAAGTGTTTGGATTTGGTGTGGCCATTCCTTAAACATCGCAGGTGAACCAATACGTAAATATCCTTTTTGACTATATTTCTAATACTTGCGATTCCTAATACATGGAAGGAGGCACGTGTAGCAGTGAGAGAGAAAACAAAACCCTCCTAGTCAGCCAGAGAACCGGAATCAATCCTGGCAACGTATGACATTCTCCAACAACAAATCACAAGAGCTTGTGCCTTTGTGATAGGTCATGTTAACTCCCGAATCTGGGTTTCACTGCAGTCCCAGATGGCTTTTGATAACCTACTCAGTTTAGATAGTTGAAGGAGAAATTCCCAGGGTCAGCCAGGGTATTTCTCAGACTCCTTTCCTAACTTACACTGTGGTGAGAATTTCACACCACAATACGCGAACACGGTAGGACCCACTAACCTGGCTTTTTGAGCAAAGCTTCACACTCCCACCCCCTCGTTAAATGCAGGAATACACATCTAATGCTTGGATGTACTGTACTTCAACAATACTGCTCTTACAGGACAGCTATACAAGCTGCCTCTTCCTGCTCTGCCTTTTAGTATTTTACCACCCGCTCTTTTTTATCTCTGTTCTCAGCCCCAATCTTACTTTTTTCTTACTTATTTTTAATAGTTTACACATCACTAACTCCCTATCAAATTCAAACTGGTACTAAAAGAACCTAAGTAAAGAACACTAAAATAAACAGCACACATGTAAGGTGAGTCTTTTCTTTCACAACCTAGACTTTCCAAGGATACAGAGTGAGCATGACTCCAAGACGAATTCCCAGGCTTCCATCCCTCACGTGAACCTACTTGTTAGTTTCTACCTTTCTTTTGTTTCAAATGCCAAAGAACATCTCTAAGCCAGGCCAAGGAATATTAGTTATAATGAATTTAACTCTATCTGTACCAGAACCATTTCGATTAGTAGGTAAGTTTCAGAAATTAAACCAAAACACGTTTCTTAAAGGTACTCTGGATCAGTGTAAATTAAATTCAATATATTACAAAGGAAAGCTAAAACTACCAGGTTTGTTAGATTTAAGTTTATATTATAGCCCTATATTCTGTGTTGGTGTTTTCTGAGAAATGTTTCTTCTCTTCATAACCCGGAAGAACTTTCAGCAATGAGATCTAAAGTGGCAATAGCAGAGATCACAGAAACTTAAAATATCAGAGGATTAAAAAAAAAGCAACAAGAAAAAGCCAGATGTCAAAATGTAATCATATTGTGGAAATGGGCTCTAACTGGGATGTTCTCCAAGGAAAGGTCAGTTCTCATATATTCTGCTCTTGAATATCATGTATTACCACCAGATGAATATAAAGCCACACATGAAAATGAGAGGCTGAACCAATTCTAAAGAAAGCAACACAACCCTTCTACCTAAACCAATGGGTGCTGGCAGTTAATGGACAATCCCAGCTGGCTCCTGTGAAAAGATGGACACAGCACATCTCATAGCTGAGGAAGGAATAAGATACAGCATAGCTCCACCATCTGCTAGTCCCAGTTTTACTCTGCACTCATATTCATGGAATTGCTTATTTTGTCATTAGACATACCCATCCATCACCAGCCTCCACCCTCTCCAATCAGATGCTGGTCAGCAGAATGTCCACCTGTCCCATCCTATCAAGATGACACATTGAAGTTGAAATGAGGCAGAAATCACGGTCTATCTAGTAACATGGGCCAGGAAACTTCTCTCTCTTAAATATTAGCCTCTAGAGTCTCATCAAAGAGGTGAAAGAAAGAAAAATCATAGGTCCAGGATAGACAGGTGGATGAGAATACTACAAATTTTACAAAAGCAATGTTTTGAAAAATGAAAGATTAAGAGCAAAACCAAACCATTTTAAATATATAAACAATGTTAAAATAACTCAAAGACAATTTAACTCAAACGTTAATTTTTGTTCCTAAATAGAAACATCCCTAAACTCTTTTAGGGTTTTCTTTTCACCAAATAACTTTCAATCCATTCAGCAAAAACAAAATTCCAGCTTCCTAGCAGAAGAAGAAAGATAAACAAACAATAAAATGTGGAAACTGATTGTAAAATGGGATTGTGGAGAGGAAGAGGGGGGTGTGTGACACAGAACAGCACATGCCATGTATCTGTCCAGGTTACCAGTAAATAATGACTAAGACTAAAGTACACCATAGGTCTGCAATGTTACCTTAGCTTTTAAAGCCACAATTAAGTTCAGCTAAGCAGTTTGTATTTTAAAGCTCTGAGAAAGGATCCAAAATGTGAATAGATTTAAATTCAAACATATGGCAGTCTTAAAAAATATAATTCACTTCACATAAATGAAAAGTCTGCTATTTATTCATGCTGATGTAATCTTCTCTTAAAAAAACAAACAAACAGGGCTGGCCCGGTGGTGTAGCAGTTAAGTTCTCGTGCTCTGCTTCGGCAGCCCAGGGTTCACAGGTTTGATCCCGGGCGCGGACCTACGTACTGCTTGTCAGGCCATGCTGTGGTGGTGTCCCATATAAAATAGAGGAAGATGGGCATGGATGTTAGCCCAGGGCCAATCTTCCCCAGCAAAAAGAGGAGGACTGGCATCGGATGTTAGCTCAGGGCTAATCTTCCTCACAAAAAAAAACAAAAACAAATAAACAAAGCTAACTATATAAATAATCATTATTATATAAGTATCCAATTACCGTATAATATGCATTCAAAGCTCTTCCCTCAATGACTCAATTTTGTACCTGCTACTCACGAGAGCTTTGGAGGTGTAATTAAGACCTAAGACAAAATCTATATGTTGTAAAATGTGAATGCATAAACAGAGTAGGAAATGTGAGCTCATTTTTAGAAAAGCCAATGTTTCAAATATACTTATTTAAAGAAATTATTCAAATTTGCCGTTTTAGCTTTACAGCTAAGTACTAAAAAGACAAATGTGTTTTTTGAGAGCTAAAACTATAGGAACATAGTATCAATCTATGAAGCTGAGAGAACCTATGAGTGGAGATTCAACAACTAACTCTAGTCTTTAACTTCTTGTGAAGCAGAGTGACTGAAAACTGGGGTGACTTGACTTTATGGCTTTGATTCTCCAAAGGTGCTAGGTTGGATCAAGTCATCAATCTGGTGTCACCCTATCATCTTAACAAAACACTAGACTGCACTTTAGAAGACCTGATTTTAGTCTCATGCAGGGCTCAGATCTCACTCAGCCCGACGGATTTACCAGGCCTGAATCTATCTATAAGTCAGAAAGGACAGACAAATCAGCACAAGTACTCAAATAAAGCATGAAAGGGGTATAGGGGGAAAAAAATCTACGGAAATTTAGAGGAAGGGGAGATTATTTCCAGTTAGAGGTACTGAGGAGCAACTTCAAAACAGAGGTAGCTCAATGCCCTTGAATGAGCAGAACCGGGAAACGTGGTGATGTATAATAACCTGGTACTATTAGTGATGTGCTTAAAATCTTGGACTAAACTCACATTTCCAAAGGCTGGGTGTCTAAGTGCAATGTGGTATCTTGGGTTAGATACTAGCACAGAAAAAGGTCATTAGTGGAAAAACTGGTGAAATCCAGATAACGTCTGGAGTTTAGTTAATTGTAACGCACCAATGTTGGTTTCTTAGTTTTGACAAATGCACCATGATAACAATATGCTAACATTAGGGGAAACCAGGTGACTGGTATATAGGAACTCTCTGTATTATCTTCATACTTTTCTGTAAATCTAAAATTATCACAAAATAAAAAGTTTATTTTAAAAAATAAGAAAAAAAAGGCAGGTAGAATAAAGCATGCTGACAAGAAAGATTGAGGAGGCCAGTACAGCTGCTAAGAGTCTTAAAGAGTCAGAGGAAAAATAAGACATTGAGGAATAAAATCTTGTACTTTTACTGGTATTAGAACATTGCCCACTTACCCCTCTATTTCTCAAACAGCACAAACAATAATAATAATTCCACTTCTGGGAATCTATTCAAGGAACAATCCCTAACAAAGCTTTTACTTTATGTACAAAGATGTTCATATAATTATTTTAATAACAAAAAAATGGGAAAAATCTAAATAGAAAAATAATTAAGTCAACCTATTATTAGGACTTTCTCCAAATTCCTACTAAGTCTGCCTAACAAACTTCTCTATTTTTAAGCCACACTTCCTTGCCATTGAGTCTAGGTAGAGTTGATTTGTATCTCAACTATACATGACATATTTCAATTACTGTACTGCTGATAAAGTACTTTAGTATTTATTTCATGGTCTAGATTATGAGATCCTTGAGAGCAGAAGCTCAGTTATATTCACATCAGAATCCTTAGCACATAGCAGTTAGCAAATAAATTTTGCAGAAATGAAATGTTAAATTATATAGAAGTCACACTTGGCTGGGAGTCTAGTCCCACAGAGGACAAATCCAGATTTTCTGAAGATCTATAAAATAAGCAGAAGCTGCAAATATCACAAGGTACAAGGAACCCGCTACTAGCCCGGGGGTAGTAGATTTCCTATCAGAGAATACAGAGGTAGCTGTATTACTCTGACAACGTCAATAAACAAAAAGGCTATTTCCATGGAGGGAGTATTAACAGTATGATAGAGATCGTGGTGACACTAACATTGCGATGGATAAGAATATGGGCTCTGAAGTGACACGGCCCTAGGTCTCAGTCTTAGCTCTGCTTAATTCCCTCATCCATAAAATGAAGGTGACAATAATAAAATCTCCCTTATAAACTTGTTGTGAGGGTTAAATGAAATGATGCATATAAAAGCTTAGCATAGTGCCTAGCACATAGATAATATTCAATAAAAGTTAATTTTTATTATTACCATTATTATTATTACCTCTCAAACTTCTGGCCTCTATTTACATCAGTTGATTCAGATGGGAAGGAAAGAAACAAGCCAAAGAAATCTGGGCAGCATCTGTAGGAACTGTGAAGGGGTGGAATAAAAACTTCACATCCTAAAGGCATAGTTATTATACTCATCACTTTTTATTACTAGTGATTGGGACTCTGGAGAAGAAAAATAAATATAAGAAATCCAGACAATCTTTAAGAATGGAATATAGATTTTAGGTAAAAGAATGGATTTAGATTGAGAACTAAGGATGGAATGAATATGAGACCCGGGAAGAAAATGCTTGGCCAGAGAATAACTAATCCAAGTTACCACTGTGTTGAAGGTGCTATGCTTTGTGCCAGAGCAACACAGTAGTAGTTACAGTAATAGTAGTAATAATATAGTAATGACAGTAGCAGCAGTAGCTAATACTTACATAGTAGTCACTATGTGCCAGGTATTGTTCTAAATGCATTATTTGTATTAACTCATTTAACCTATAAACTCTTAGAAGAAAGCGTTTAGGCTTAAGAATCCAACAGGTCTGGAGTTAAATCTTGGCCCTGCCATTAATGCCCAGGTAACCTTGAGTAAGTTACTTCACTTCTCTGAGCTTTAGTATCCTCATATCTAACCGGGAGTGAGAACACCTAACCCACAGAGATAATGTGAGGGTTATATGAGATTATAACATACGTCCCATAGCGCCTGATACATAGCAGATACCCTGGTAGCTGTATCTTTATTACTGCTGTTAACATTATAATTATTATTAAGTCTTAGGACCAAAAACATCATTCTGAAGGTATGCAGAGTAAAGTTTGGAAGGGGGGAACTTTTTTCTTCCTTCCTGAGTTCCTCTTCCACCTTTTAAAAAATGGTTCAGCATTCTACAATATTGTTAAGCTTTTCTCGGAATAAACTATACATGAATACAAAGTAGACTATTATAAAGGCAAAAAGACCCTTAGGCTAGCTTTAAAGGGTTTTTTTTTCCTCTAGGAATAGTAGTGGTGAAAATACTACAGTTCCTTAAAGTAAATAGTGCTGAAAAGAATGAAAATGGCATATGGCTGGGGGAATCTTCCCAAGAAACTACTCTACACAGCCATCCCCTGTTCTTTTCTCTGCCTTTTAAGGTCACGGTAACATGATAGAAAATCTGGGACTCACACCATCTGTCCAGACAGTTCTATCACTGCTCATTTCTCTTGTTAAATAATCGGAACGCTTCACACTTCCCAAACACTGCTACTATAAAGAGCAGTTAAAGCAGAACGAAAGAAGCTCTTTCTATCCAGAAATGTAGTGGTTAGAAATAAACAGTTCTTTTGAGGCTTGTGGGTTTCAGATCATGTCAGGAGAAGAAAGAAATTCAAGCCTTGGAAGGAAATTTAAGAATAACAGGATTATAATAATGGCTGTAGAAATTATCTTTCTTAGATAAAACGTGACATTCTCATATGAGTTCTCTAAGAATAGATGTGGCAGTTTAATATTGAGATAATTATACAGGTTTCTAATTTGTAAATTTCCCCTAAGACTAAGAAGAGGAGTGGTTTTCTCTACTACTGCTGGTAGTATTGATAATAGCAGCTAATAATTACTCGGCACTAAGGACACGCTTAATTCTCTTCAAAACCTTTTTGTGTATTAACTCAATCCTTAAAACCACTCTATGTAGCAATTTCTATTATTATTCCCATTTTACACTTGAGGAAACTTAAGCACAAAGAGGTTAAATAACTTGCCCAAGGAAATACCGCTGGGAAAATGTAGAGCTGGGATTCAAAAGCAAGCAGACTGGCTCCATGCCTTTAATTTCTATGCTACACTATCTTATAATTTTAAAAAAATCCTCTAAATTATACATTAAATTTGGCATCTTTATCATATTTTGAATAAACAAACTACAGCTGAATGTCAAAAACACTTGACCCCCATTCACCTAGAGAAGGGAGAGTATCAATTACATATTCATTAACTTATTAATTTGTCTTATAATCAGAGCATATCCAGCATGAAGGTGTTTATTGTCATAAAGCAAAATAATTTTTATAATAAAAGTTTCAAGAATTGCTCTGGGGTCCATGCCAATTCGGGAATTTTTTATGACTTTGAGAAAAGGTTTTGGATTACTCTCAAACCTCCAGAACAAGTTTAACCTTACATGAAGACTCCTTGACTGCAAATAAAGATTCAGTAGGGTATATCAACGTACCCAGGAGAAACCAGGCTGAGCCTGGAATTCCTCTTCCAGGAATTCCAGAACATTCACCACTGTGCCCAATGGCTCAAATTTATTCAATGATAGAAGTCCCAATCTCAGCTAGTTGGTGAGGTAAATTTATGCTACTGGTCACATAACTGCCATAATAATGACAGTACTGATAGTAATCACATTGTAATCATAATATTAATAATATTAAATAATAATAACAATGACAACCACCATTTACCGATAACTTAATGAGTGCTAAGTATTATGCTAGGTGCCTCATATGTCAGGTGTATTAGGGATCAGTGGGGAATAGAGGTAAAAAGCATGAACTGTAGAGACAGGCTGCTGTCTGACTCCTTCACTTATTTGCTGTGTGATCTTGAACAAATTACTTAAATTCTCAGTGCCTCACAGAATATCTACTTCCTAAGGTTGTTGTGAGCATTACATGTGTTAACACATGTAAAATGTTCATAGTAGTGCCTGACACACAATACTATGACCCAAATTGAACAGATGGGGAGATTAACGTTCAGAAAAGCTAAAGGCCACAAATTAGTTAGGGTATACTGAGGTTTCCAGGTCTGCCTGACTCCAAAGCCCACGCTCTTTGGGTTCTCGTTCCTATTCATTGTCTCTCTCTCAGAAATGAGAACAGGCCAACTGCATCATAAAAGAGAGCATAGTTACTCTAATGTTATTTTTGTCTTTTCCCATCAAAGAATATGACTATGGCAGCATTAAAAAACAAAGAGAGAGAGGGAGAAATGTTAAAAATGCCAATCTAACATACTGCATTCCATCAATTCTGAGACACTTTCCCCCCAAATTTTTCCATCTGTCAATCATGTGTCTTACAATTATAATTGGCAGTGTTTTTTCTTTCTTAGTAGCACATAAAATAACGGCGCATCTTCCAATCAATATCATCTTACATTTGACAAAATATGGTAACTGTTAAGCCCAACAAGTATCCTCTAAGGTTTTGTGTTCCTTGTTTTGGTTTTCCCTTTCTGATGACTCAGTGGCTTCTAATCATAATAACTCTTTGGACTGACAAACCCAGGGGCACTTCCTCCTCACAGCCTGTCCTTATAGGTGGTCCTCACTTTGCGAGCATAAGTGGGCTCTATGGGTAAGCTGAGAAAGTATTAGCTAACAGTGGAGCCTTAACAGTCTTTTTTTTTTCCTTCAGTTTTTTTCCTTATTTCTACCTTTCTGAAGTTATTTCTATAACCCCTTTTATAAGTACTTAACTGATTCATACTTAAATTTTTTGCCTGTTTTGGCCTGAGTGCCTCCATTCCACATATGGTCAGTCTCTTCATAGAAGAAAAAAATGTCAAGTTTTACATCATCTTTTCCCTGGAAAGATAGTTCCAAGCTGTCTTCTACCTAGGGGGAAGATGAAAACCTTCACAGACTGAAACAAAAGAAATACAATTTTTTAATTAAAAAAAAAAAGATTCCTATGTGTTACAGAGAGAGAGTATTGATTTTCAGACACACGTTTTTTCAGGTTGGAGCACCTGTGAAATCAGGATGCATCAGTAACATGCCAAGGCTTGTTTTCTGTCTTAAATGCAGATAAAATAATGTTTCTTCTTACAACTGATGATGACTCAGAGTAAATCACTTACAGTAGTTAAGGTATCACTCAGCAGAACATCCTGTTCCTGAGCCCCTTTCTGACCAAAGAAGGAACCAAACAGAAATTATTCTCTTTAATAACCAAGTAAAACTATCAGGAAATAAGTCTCTCATCACAATCAACAATCAATAAATAGGTACTTAAGTAAATGTGGTATTATAGAAACTCATAAACATACCATAGATCATTACATTATGTACATGAAAAAAAAGAAGAAATAAAAGTTAAAGGTACAAAGAATTCTGAAAGCATTTCCCTAAAGAAATTTATTCTACAAATAATTATGTTCCCATTGGATTTGGTGCATCTGTCTGTTATAGCACTAATCACATAATAATTATTTATGCATTTTTTTCCTCCCAGTTAGACAGTGAACTCCTCAAGGGCAAGGACTGTAACTTATTCATCACTGTGTCCCAGGCACAGAGCACAGTGCCAGGAAGAGAGTGAGTGTTGAGTAAACATTTGCTGAATGACTAGAGTTCTATTGCTTTGACTGTGACCTCAGGAAAATATTTTATTAAATTTTTTAATAAACTAGAATGATTATGACGAGGGAAGTAATTTTTCAGAGACTAAATATACTCTTACTTGCTTTCTAGGACAACATGTCCCTGGGAACAAGCAATTTAAGAGTAAGGTGATTGCAAGGGATCAAGGGCTTGGGGCATAGCAGTCAAATTGTCTAAAAGGAGATTTCATCTAAGCCACGATGACCTACTCCTAGCTGACCTCTGAGAAAACTGCTATGATGCAGGACATGTGAAATCAACAAGAAATTCAAGTACTGTTTGAAATGATTCTATATTTCCAACCCTTAGCAATCAATGGAATGTTTCATGTTGATAATGACATCCATGCCTAAGTGAACACTGAAATTAAATGACTCATGAGAAAAAATGTAACTTCAGGTAGGGTAGATGGGATTCTTATTTATTATATTAATTGTATATTACATGTTCTATTAATTATATATTATATTGTTGCCTAATTTTATGGCAATAAATTCATCTGCAAGAGTCCAAGATCCTTCTCTCCTCATTGTTAACAGAAAGCCAGATTTTATAATTTTCCTTTAATAGTGCAGAAATCACAAGTGGTAACAAGCTTCTGCTGAACTCATCCTGGCCAACACTGAGTGACAAAATGATGAACGCAACGTTCTTAAGCATCTCTGAGTTGCTTAATATAAACTTTACTTTTGAGACATGTTACTTATGAAGTAAAGCAGATTTTTATTACTGACCTTCCCAAATTTGTGTTTGAGTGGAAGTCCTGCCTCATGAAATGCTGAAATAATATCAGATTTGTAATCCTGTATAAAAATTCCTAGGTCAACATCTTTACTATAAGGAATAATGTTGCATTGCCGATACCATCCTAAAAAAAAAAAAAGAAGAAGAAAACTTTTTAAAAAAATTACGTTTGGAAAAAATTAGTCGTTATTATAATGGATGATCTTTGTAACAGAGGATTTTATTTCACAGGATAAAACTTAGGGTGCTTTACCAATATTACTTGTTAAAAAATTAAATCCCAAACTAAAATTGTGGTTACAGGAGCCACCTGTTGAAGAACCTTTCCTCCCTCCTTCCCCCACCTCCCCCCTCCCTCCCTCCCTCCCTCCCTCCCTTCTTCCCTCCTTCCCACCTTCCCTCCTTCCTACTGGTCTGAGCACACAGCAACCTCAAAGGCTGCCTTTAAGATATGCTAAAAAATATAATTTAATTCTTTTGCTTAACCATTGTCCCTTTCCTGAATGATAATTTGTAGAACTTAACAGCTCTGAACGGCTCATGTCTGATGGGTTATATGAAAAAGAGGAGCAGTATCAGCCTCAATTTTCAGCATGCTGTCAAAATATATTTCTAGGGGGCCCAGCCCAATGGCATAGTGGTTAAGTTTGCGTGCTCTGCTTCGGCGGCCCGGGGTTCCCTGGTTCGGATCCTGGGCGCGGATCTACACACTGCTCATCAAGCCAAGCTGAGGCAGCGTCCCACATAGAAGAACTAGAAGGATCCACAACTAGGATATACAACTATGTACTGGGGCTTTGGGGAGAAAAAAAGTTTGTTAAAAAATATATATATATTGGGGCTGGCCTGGTGGCGTAGTGGTTAAGTTCACGCACTCCATTTCAGCGGCCTGGGGTTTGCAGGTTCAGATCCCAGGCACGGACCTATACACTACTTATCAAGCCATGCTGTGGCAGGCATCCCACATGAAACAGAGGAAGATGGACACAGATGTTAGTTCAGGGCCAATCTTCCTTAGCAAAAAGAGGACTGGCAAAGATGTTAGCTCAGGGCTAATCTTCCTCACACACACACACACACACACACACACACACACACTCTATATATATATTTCTAGGTATTTACTACGTATCTACTTCTCAATTAGGTGCTATAGTACTTTCTAAAAAAAAACAAAATTTATACCTTAATATTACTAAGGGCTCCTGGGTTTCCCCTATTATCCTTCTAATCCTTCCCACCAGATTATTCAAAAAGTAAATAAAAATCTACGATTATCTTTATAGGCACTGCTATGGGGCAATACTCTTTGGAATTCTAAACTTTAATTTCATTTCAAGACAGATTTTTTGAAGCCTAGGATGAGGTCTCACCTTTAGTTTGAGAAAAATCTACAATCCACATCTAACAAAGAATCATAAACTATTAAAAATGGAAGGCTCCTTAAATATCATCTAGTCTAACTTCCTCATTTTATAAATTCCCTTAAAGAAAGACAACCATGGGACTAAAAACTCAAAATAAACCATGACAAACAATTAAGAAGTATTCCTGATGACAGTCTATAAAACAATATTACTTCAAAAAGTTAAACCTTAAAGTATATATCACATAAATGTGTAAGATGTACTCTTTTTTTGGCTTACTCTAGCTGTAAGATCCTAGACAGAAAGAACCATATGAATCTTCCACAAAGCCTAACAGATAGGAAAACCACATATCCCAGTTTACACCTGTTGTACCAACATAATTATTAATGGCACTCCCTTTCGCTCTCAAAAATCTCTTGAATTGGACAATAAATTATATGGTAATCCTATCAAAGGAGCAGAATTAATTTTTGTACAAATACAGTTATAATCAAGAAAGAACAAATACAGTTATAACCAACTATAGTTATAAACAAGAAGGAATAAAAACAGCAAAATTTAAGATTCTAAATGATTCTAAATTCAAAAGAAGTTTGATCTAAGGTATAGTGCAAAGAGATCCAGAAATCTTTCTCAGAGTCTAACAGCAACTTGCCTTTAGACTCCAGAAAAGTCTACGTTTCCCCATCTCAGAATGAATAGAATGTGGGAAGGCAGTGAGGCCCCATCACTGATACCATCAATGACCTGGAAAAGGCTGATGGAAAACCTTACTACACTCCCTTCAACATTCCTCTCAGTAGAAACTTTTGGTGCAATGCAAGTTGTTCGTGTGGTGTGTAAGTAAAGAAACAGAATAGAAGGGTTTTTTTTAAAGCTAATAACAATCTTTGGGACGGAAATTAAACGCTAATCTAAAGATTACCTGAGAATCAAATATAGTCTACATGTTCTGATATAAATTTTATAGGCATGACTTATAAAGTAAACACATGTGTTTACTTTTGGTAAACACAAACATGGCCTTCCTAATTCTCTTTTATGTTTCTGAAATTAATTTCTTTAAAGAAATCAATAAACCCTTGCTCCATGCACTATGTTTATTCTGTCCATAAATATGACACTTTGAATATCACTAATATTTTGTCATCTCGAGCAGTCATCCCTAAAGCCAAAGAGGAGGAAATGATAAAAAGACAAATGAAAAGCAACGAGAGTTTTACCTAGACAAGTCCCACTGCTCAGCCAGAACCGCACTCCCAATTTCTTCAGTGTTTTGGCTGCTAGTTGCAGCAATTCCTTTGCACTCTTCCGAAAGGCCATAGCTTCCGCAGTGTTATCATCAAGGTACTGCTGCAGATATAATAAATAGTCAGCTATTACAGCCATTTCTAAATTGCTAGAAAGATCTAAATTAAATTTGAAAATTAACCCCATATTATATATTTTTCTATTATAAAATCAGAGTTCCTCGTTAGTCATACATTTATTTTATAAAATAAGACTATAGGAGTAGATTCTAGGAGAGGCAAGTTAAAGGAAAAGGAATATAACCAGGATTCCCAAAGGATGAGACTTATGCCTTTATCAAATCCCTCTTCCACATCACAATTGAGCAGATTGGGCAGTTAGGGGAAAAGAAGGCTTTTATGAGAGCTACAAGCATATCTGAAGCAAAATGCATTTAATGACATTTTCATCATTCGCTGATACAATTGGTCTTTAGAGACTGTACAGTATAGCAGAAAGAGCCTGGGATTTTGTATCAGATTATCTGTGTTCAAGTCTAGCTGCACTTCCTTCTAGCTGTGACTGTGGGCATATGACCTCAGAAGAATGTAAGCTCTGAGGATTTTCATTGATCACTGTACGTCCAGTGCCTAGAGTAGTGTGTGAATATCTGCTGAATAAATGAGAGAATGCAACAACAAACTTCTTTGAGATATGATTTCCTCATCAGCAATTAAATGATAATAATTACACTTTTCAAGATTGCTGTAAAGATTTAATGAGATAATGGATGACAGAAAAATGTCTCACAAATCATGATGTTCTATACAAACAATTATCTATTTAGTCTTCTTGCTTTTCCGATTTTCTTCATTTTTAGGGTGTTCTGGGACTGAGGAAAGCACTACAAATTCTTCAGTGATGTTTCACTACCCATGGGACAAAATCCAAACTTCTTGGCATGGCAGACAGGACAGCTGTCTTCTGGTCCCTGACTACTGGTCCAGCCTCATCTCCACCCTCTTCATACTTCATATTACAGCAATAACTTGTAACTCACCAAATATACCACACCTTTTCAAACCTCTGTGCCATTTTATACATGTTGTTTCCTTTCTCTGAAATGTCCTTGACTAACAAAATCTTTCAAGTCTCGGTCCCACCCTCTGAGAAACACTCTCTGATTTTCCCAGGAAGACGTATGTATTTATTCTCCCACTGCTCCTCTTCAGTTCAACATTTAGAGAGCACAGAATTATGTTTGGTACTAGATATAGACAAAGACAAATGAAATAATCTGTTCAATGAGCTTATAATAGTTACCACCTGTATACACTTTTACTATAATTCTTATCACATTTAATTCTAATTGTTGATTTTATTTAGATTTCCTCCACTAGGCTAAAGATGTAAAGATGGTTCCTTGAGGGCAGTTACTGAATCTCCATCACTGTATGTACAAATTTCGAATGGTGCCTGGCACACAGTATGTAAGCAAGACATATTGATAAATGAAAAAATGAATAAATGATTGACTAAGCCTCTCCCATGCCTACAATATCCTAAAATATTCTGTCATTTTTTTCACAGTACAGTAGGAGCAAACATAGTTCCTATAAGGACTACAAGGATCTTAAGCAAAAAATATCCCTAGGAAGAAAGTGGGGATCCTGAAAATAAGTAGCCTTCTCCAGGATATAGAAATTATACAAGATTCCTTCAAGATGAGAACATCCTCAGAGCAATAACTTCTCTTAGAACACAGGATTGGAATGAGAGACGCATGTTCTTATCCGTGTCGTAGTGGGAAAAGCCTGCAGCTAGGAGACCCGGGATTTAGTCCATGATCAGCCAATTATGACCGTGTAACTAACAGCTGGAAACCTCAGTTTTCTTACTAGTTAAAGGCAAATACTTGCCTTATTTCAGAGTGACTGAAAATATCAAATTTAATAACAGATAGGAAAACTCTGTGCTCTACAAAAACATTACTCTGGTAGTTACATCCTACCAAGGCTGCCCACTGCATGGACATACTTCCACCTTTGACAGACATACCTTTCCTAACACGACACTCCCAGAAATTCCATTGCTTAGAATTGACCCTCATATGTATTCAAGTATATACATGTATATACCTGTATACCTTATACATCTGTTATAGACTTTACAAATAACAGTATACATACTTTTTTTAAATTTAAAAATGTCTTATATAAAGCTTGGGATTACCATGCCTCTAGAAAAAGACAAAATCCTAATTTAAATATCATGTCACTTTGATCTTTCCTGTTCAGGCAACCTTTCCCCCCACCTTCCGCCAAAATATAGATTAAAAATAATAAGGGGACAGAAAGTACCCACTCGTTTTATAGATGAGGAAACTAAGGCTCAGAAATCTGCCCAAAGTCTCAGAGCAAATTCGTAGAAGAAGGAGGATAAGAACATAGCTTTCTAGATATTTCTAGGCCAGGTGTCCAGACATTTCCATATTCCCCTCTGGTTTTTCACCAGAATTCAACAGACTGAAACTCATTAATTATTTTTTGATGGTTATTGCTAAGACAAAATCAAGTTCAGGAAAATGTATATTATCCTAGTTCTAAACTTCTTAGTAGATTGAGAAAATAATTAAAAGTAAATAAAGTCAGTCAGGAGAGCACTTCCCCTTCTCTTCCCCCTCCCTTCCTGAACTATTCAAAACTAGAGCCCTTAGTGAGGCAGAGCATGAAAGTGCACAGCGATGGCCTGGGATGGGCATCACAGCCTGAGCAAGGGATGAGGGCACCACATGGAGGGGGGTGTCCAGTGTGGGCAGTCAGAGTCTGAGCAGGGTGAGAAGTCTGTCTATATGGGGGCAGCCCAGGAGGCGACGGGAACGCCCAAGCAGGGTGAGGTCACCATCCACGTGGGAGACAGGGCAGCAGAAACAATGGAAGATTGAACAAATAAATAAATATATTAAGGATAATAGGAGTCAGGTTTCTCACTGTTTGAGAAGGGAGTCACAAATATGGAAATGAACCCTATGCTGTTTAACTGAAACATAAATTAATTAGACTAGAGATATCAATGTGAATTCATGGATCTTGATGGATATAGAAATAAATGCACACACATAAACACCCTACTCCTGTCACGGAGAGGGCCTGTGTGCAGCAAAATCCAAATGGCAACGAGCACTCCTGGCAACCCGATCATGGCTTCTAAAAGGAAACAGAACTCAGAGAAACGGCTGATTCCAGGGTTACGGCAGGGAAATTGTAAGATGAATCTAAAACATCATGTGCCAAAAAGCAAGAAAATGATCAAAAAATGATGGAGACCTGTAAAAAAGACACAGAAGCCATCAACTCACTAGCCAAATATGGAACAATTTGAGAAGCAAAATAAATAATGAAAATAATGGACTGTAACCCATTCAATAAAACAGGAAACCATGAGTTCGTACCGATATAAACAAATAAATACATTGAAAGTTTGATGAGGATACTGACAATATATACACAGTCTTAAGGTACCTTCATGCCAAATACCTATTAATTACAAAGGGAAAACACAGAAACTTCACTGGGGTGAAGCTAGCAGACAGCACTTTACTCAAGTGATCAATGTGAACGTCAACAGTAACAGGACAAATCAAAACCACGGAGCACCTGACAGGACGTAATGAGAAGAGCACAGCATCACTTCTGTGTTATTCCTACTAAATGTGTACAACGGAACTAACATGAGGAAAAAACAGACAAACCCCAAATGAGGGGTAATTGATCAAATATGTGGCCTATAATCTTCAAAAGTATCGAAGTCATGAAAGTCAAAAAAGGACTGTCAATCTGTTCCAGACTGAAGGAGACTAAAGAAACAGGAAAATTAAACACAGCATAAGATTCTGAACTGAACCCTTTTATTATAAAGGTCATTATCAGGGCAGTTAGCAAAACCTGAATAGAGATTAAGTGGTAATAATCCATGTGTTAATTTCCTGATTTTCATAGTAAGACACGTAGGAGAATGTTCCTGTTTTTAGGAAATACTAAATTATTTGAGGTTGTGGGGTATACGTTTCAAGAAAAAAATGATTTGTATTTTATTTGTCTCTGAAAGTTTGAGAATGTTTCAAAAAAATCAGTATTAAAAGAAGACAGTTCAGAGGCTGCTTTACAAGATCTATTAGATTAACTCATTGCTTGTTTTACACCAGGCATTGTATTTGAGGCTGTTTGGCGCCATCAAGTGGTCAAAAGTATGTATGTTCATCTTAATTTGAAAACAGACCTTGCTGGTATTTTTAATCATGGTTCTAACATAAGAACTGATGAAGAATGAAACATGTAAGAGAATATGGATAAAAATGGTTATCAATCCCATTAGGCATTCTATAGCAGCAATACCAATACATTAGCAGAAGAGAAAAACAAATTAGGGATCACAAGTCTGTCTTGCTACAAGTGAAGGAGACGTTTAACTAACACGATGACGAATGAATACAAAGCTCCACCTGATGCTGTTATGGCTATAAACGTCCATACAGCATTACAGTCTTGCTATGTGAGGTACTCTAAACACCAAAGCCATGAGGCTATGGAAAGCTGGTAAGCCCTCTGAGCATCTGTCATCCATATTCTTCACTCAAATGCTGACTAATTGAGTGCTTGCCCTTAAAATTTCAAAAGCAAGAATGAAACACGGAAGTAAAAAAATATGACAGCATCCTCATGATTTCTCAATATTTTGAAACATTTTACACTGCCTTCCCACAAAGATCAACAAAATGGATCTGGAGAAATGCTTGCTAGGTAATGGAGTAGCCCGAGTAAGTGTCCTTAAAAAAGTCATTTGACTTGGATGACCACCTTAGTCTCCATGCATTTTTCCATAATTGTAGAATCTTCTCTTTGTGCCAGGTACTGTGCCAGACACTGGGGCCACAGAGGTGAATACAATCAGATGGCTGCCATCAACAAGTTCTCATCTTCTAGTGGGGGACAAGACAGACATTCACAGCTCACTGTGATAGCTGCCATGACAGAGGTGGTAACCAGAACCCCCTTCAGGCAGGAAGAGTGAGCGGTTGAGTTCAAGCAGCAGCCTGCATCTCTCCTGCTTCCTGTTCCTCTGTGGTGGGGATGTGATGGCAGCACGTGCCCACCAGAGCAGGCCCATCCGCACACAGTTATTCGTCCAGCTTTTCATCCATGAGGCTGACCGGGTATGTCTCACAGCTCCGCAATTAGGTTTAGGGGAATAGGACTAGGAAGGCCCACTTGGGCTGTCAGGCCCAGGTCCCGGGTGCCAGCACAGCCTACCAGAAAAACCTTGAATTTGTGGGTGTTAGGCACCGGGCCAGTGATGACACAGCTGGTACTTCATTTTCCCATTCTGACCCTGTCCTTGTGTATACAGCTTTCTTGGAAGGGAACCCCAGAAAACAAAGGGCAAGCGGAACGATTAGGGTACCCAAACCCCACTATAAATCTGACTGTTTTCACTGTATCTCTGTTTCATGTCGTCTCTTAGAGCTGAACTTTCATGCCCTTCAAAGCATCCTCATATCCCCAGGGTTAGCAGAGTTCCTGAGAAACAGGCTCTCAATAAATGTTTATTGAATTGAAAGCCAGAGCAGCAGAATAAAGTAAAGTTCAAAAGCACTTGGTCTTTGTGTAGCATTTATCTTCAAAAACCTTCATAAACACACAAAAAATTCATATTCAGTGCCAATCCTCTGAGAAAAACTATATTTTCCACGAAATCTTTGCTAAATCCACATGGCCATCTTCTACAAGCGGCTTCACCCTACTTGGATTGCTTCAAGAACAGAATACACCATCTTTTATCAAGTTTATGGGCTATCCTAACTGAAAGCAGAGGCCGTTGCTAAACCTATCAAAGTCTATCCAAATAAAATAAGGTCTCCATAAATACCCAACCATTCAACTAAGCAAGAAATAGTTTCTTAAGGTTAATGTTTAATCTACTTTTTACAAAATTAAAACAAAACAAGCTAGAAGAAAACAGATGAATCGAAAAAGATGTTTTCTTACCTATTTTCCATAAGTCCCTTCATTTCTCCCCAGAAATATTAAAAATAAACACACTTCCTTTAATTTAAAAAGTACAATAAACCAATGTTACTGCAATAAACAAAAAATTAAAAAAAAAAAAAAGTACAATATTTGGTTATCTCTAACCTGAAAGAATGCTCGAGCTTCTTTATACCTACACTCAATAAACCTAGAGTGTGGTATTTCTTCTAGAAAGTGCACTGGATCTTTTGGAATGAGAACGTCTAGTCCATCAACAGTAATCTGTTGTAACGCTGGCCTGAAAACAAAAGTTAAAATTTATTATAAGGACTTAACCCAGAATACTGGCAGCCTCTTTAAAATATACAACATAAGCAAAATAGCTAAACATCAAGCATATTTTCTTCAATTACCTCAGATATCAATTAGCCTAGGTCTCTAATTAACCTAGGTCTTCAATAAGACTGGAAAATCGGATATCAAACAGCAATTGAGTTTTAAGTATTTTGGTTAATGTATTTTAAAACGTTTTTGCACCTACTCATATATACCTTGGCATTTAAAGCAAGGAAAGTTGTGACATAATTTTAAACTATCAATATACTTTTAGAGAAGTAAATGTTCTTAACACTTAAGACATATGAGTAAATTACAACAGCCTAAGAGAGAGTCTCATTAGTAAGCAAAATGCAAATCCAGAAATTAGTCTTATTTATTTAGGATCCCATATTCCACAAATATTCTTGGAGCATTTCCTATTCCTCTTTATATAAAATTATATAATGTAGAAATGGCTTTTTATCTAGGAACTGGCACACATATATTTAATAAGTATTGACTGACCAATTTAAACTTTATTGAATTATTAATTAAACTTTGAAATAAAATTTCAAGGCTTTAAAAAACTAAAAAGTAATGTCTTCCTAAAGAAACTTATTTAAAATACAGAATGAAAAAAAATAGACATAAAAGTGGTAAGAGAATAGTGGCTATTAAGATTTTGACTAAAATCATTAATAAAAAGAGCCAATATTAATAACAAAGTATTTTTTCCACTCTTTACTTTTTTTTGGTGATAACATTTCTAAAATTTGGATTGGATCAGAAAAGGTTTGACTTGATATACACAAAAAATAGAAGGCTCCAGTTTTGAATACACTTTTCAGTTGTTTCTCAAATATGTGATTTTAAGTATTAATAAGAAGGCAAGAAGAAACATACTCTTACACTTCTCAAGTGTAACAAATAAGCAATGTCTCTCAGGAAGTTGCCAAGAAAGAGTTTTCAATATAAAAATTCTTGCAAATATGGTAAACTTTAAGGCAAAAGAGAAATGTTTACTGCTACCTTCACATCAGATTCTGGTATTTAAAGCAGACTGTAACATCACTACTAATGACTTCAAAAGGGGAAGAAAAGTACTCGGTTAGAAACGTCATACTCAATATCTAACTTAAGAATGTCTTTTTCATCTTGCAATTGTTAATATAAACTATAGCTAATCAAATTTTACGAGTCCCTTCAAATAACTGTATAGCTAAGGATATATTTTTGCACATAGTTTTTAAAAAATATACAGGAAAGCACATAAAACATGCAGGCACAAAATAATTATAAAGTGAACATCCGTGCATCCACTAGAGAAAGTGAATTTTGTCCGTTTCCCTGCAGTTTTCTGTGTGTCCTATTCATCACACTCTCCATTCCCCCTGGAGATAAACCCTATTCTGTCTTTTCTGGTATCTCTTCCTTACTCTTTTTTTTTTTTTTTTTTTTCAATCTTAATAGCTAACATGTATTGAGCACTTACTGTGTGTCAGGCTTTGTTTTATTTTTATTTATTTATTTATTAATATGATAAATATATTGCTTTTTTTTTTTTAATTTCAGGTGTACATCATTATACTTCTATTTCTGCACAGATTACATCATGTTCTCATGTTCACCATCCAAATGCTAATTACAATCCATCACCACACACATGTGCCTAATTATCCCTTCCGCCCTCCTCCCTCCCCCCTTTCCCTCTGGTAACGACCAATCCAATCTCTGTCTCTTAGTGTTTGTTTGTTGTTGTTATTATCTACTACTTAATGAGGGAGATCATACGGTATTTGACCTTCTCCCTCTGACTTATTTC